TGGGGGGGGGGGGGGGCGAAGGGGGTCCCGCGATGATGTCGTTACGGATGTAGTCTTTCTTCAGACAACCCATTGCACCCAAGCTCTCACCCGTGCAAAGACCGCGAAAGGGGGGAGTGCGCGTAGATATTTAGCTGTGCGGTTGCCTTTGGGTTGTTGAGGGTTCGACTTTTGCCTGTTGCTTTTATCAAAAAAAAAAAACGACTCCCTCTTTCGGGTCCCGCCAAGATAGGGTGGGGGGGGGGGCTACCGTTGCGTCTCTGCTTTTCTCTCCGGAAAAGGGGACCAGGTACGCGAAGTACGTAGTAGCGCGATGGTGAGCGGAAGGACCGTGGTACCAGTTCCTTGTTTCTATCAAGTAAAGAATAGGGGTCAGTCAGTCCATCGCAATGTCGCGTGCATGCTCGCCCCCTTGATTTTACCCACAAGGTGACCTTTGCCGGGCCTCTCTCGCGACGACAAGTGAAGGAGAGGAGCACAGAGGGAAACCTCCTGTGTGAATCCCCAGCCCCGGTTACTTTCACCCAGAGAGAGCATAGCCGGCGCTATCGCCCACAATCGTTTTTTATTGTTTTCATCGCTTCAAATATGCGCTCACAGCAATTTCTGGCGGGTACGAGTTTTGCGTCTGTGGTTGCATTTCCAGAGGGCAAAAGTAGTCCTTTCTGTCTTGGTATGATACCAAAAGAATCAAAATATCGGCAAAGACCGCATGTTTCCTGTGAGCGGGAGCAGTGGTTCCTCCGTCTTGTAGAGACATCGATCGCCTACACTCAGGCGACTGCTCCGCGAGACTTGGTGAGACCTAACACGAAGCGAGTTTGCGATCTACAGCAGTGCTACGTATTTTGGGTCATGGGCAGGGAGGGAAAGTCCGCAGCACACTCTTGTTTGGAATAGGTGTACCTGGAACACGCGCTAACGCTAGTGCAGCGGCGTACGCGTGTGCTGTTGGAGGGGGGAGTGTTGGCCACGCTTCGTCAGACTGCAGCAGTGCCTCGCGTGAAAAACACAACAACCAGTGGCGTACAGAAACACAATTACACCGTACCACAGCAATGCCTCTCTCTCGATACATATACGGCAAAAGAGGGTGCTCCGCAGAGTACTGATCTACGGTGCCTCCGGGGGTCAAAAAGTGTACGATTGACATGCCGCGTGCAGATGGTCTTCGTATGCCTGTCACTCGCTTACGATACAAGGTCTTTGAGTCAACCTTATTTCTCTTTCGGTCTCTGACGAACCTGCCCCACCCAACACTTGTGCTGCTGCGTGTGGTGCGCGCGCTCCGAGAAACTAAGGCCGGACGGGGCAGGGGGCACTCGGGAGAAAACTCACCTAGCTTTGCCTTCCGGCCACAGAGCCCACACCTAGACCCCGACTCCCACACCCGGAACCTCCGTCCGTGGTCACCAGAGGAAGCCCCGCCTCCTCCGCCCTTCCCTCCACCACCAGCCCCCTTCAGCTTCTTTCGATCGTGCGTGCCGTCCGCAACCGCGTTGCCCCCCCCCGCTCCTCCTCCCCCATCGCCCTCGCTTGCGCCGCCGCCGCCGCCGCCACCGCCGCTTGTTTTCGGTTTCTTCTTGCTCATGCCCTTGCCTTTTCCCAACACAACACCCTTCCGGACAATCCCGCCGATTACACCAGACGCCTTCAATTTCTTCCGGACGGGCTGGTTGCTCGCCGACGCCGTCCCCCCACCACCGCGCTTGCCCTTGGCGTGACCGCGAGGCTCTGTGCCGGAGGTGTCCTCAACCTTTACCCCGGTACCTGCGGCGGCCGCTGCTGCTGCGGCGATGCGTTTGGCCCTGGCGGCGACGTTTTGGTAGGTCAGGTTTACCATGCCTGGAGGCAAGGACGGGGATCACAATGGGTAGTAATCAGCGCCAACGATGTAAAACAGTGCAGCAGCAACGATAACTGCAGCAACCACATCACCAAGATCAGGAGTAGCAGCAGCAGCAACAGCAACAACAACAAGGCATCAATCAGCAGCATCAGGCGGTCAAGCAACAGCAGCAGCAGGAAAAGCTGCAGCAGTAACACTCCGACACGCCACCACCAACACCAGCGGTAGTCACGTAAGAGTCACTGGACCTCCCGTAGCCTCGTTCATGCCATGCCTGCAACCGAAAACCTTACAGGAAAAAACCCAACAAGAAAAAAAATGAAAAATATAAGCTCAAGCCCACCAGCTAGGGCTTCCATGCCTCGAATGCCGTGTAAACAGCAAATACTTGCTATACTACTACAAACGCAGTAAACGAATAGCCCGACCGTTGCGAGTTACCACTAGCACCATCAGCGCATCCTCGCATCACCCCCCCCCCTCCGATGTACAGAAGGTCCAAACAATAGAAAAACATGCGGTACGCATGCATGCATGCGTATGCCGGTGGTTGGTTTACATCCAGCCTGTCCAGCGGAGGAGCCAACACAACAAAAACAATTACACGTGGGGATGTGCGCCGTTTGTGTTGGCTATTTGTGAGTTAGCTTTTACCTCCCGGCTGGTGCTTGGCGCAGAACAAGCGAGACGTTCCCGGGAACCCGAAGGAGGCGATGCGGTCGCAGTTCGCCCCCCTGCATATCCCCGTCGCCCGTTTCTGGTCCGGAGAAAAACCACCATCCTGGTTCTGAGCAGAACCGCCGTCTGCTTTAGTCTTCCCCACCTTGCCCCCTTTGCCGGCCTTTGCTTTCGTGCCCCCTCCGCCACGGCCCCTCTCGCGCGCCGAAGCCGCCTTCCAGTTTCCTTTTCCCTTGCCCATGCTCTTCCTGCTGACGAGGCCGCCCGGGCGGCGCTGGAGCTTGGGTGGCCCGCCGGCGCCGGTCTTGGCGCGAGCGGTTGGCCCCGAGCGGTGGACGGGGCTCCTTGTCATCCCGAAGGGGGCGTCCGCGCTCTTGCCGCCGGCCTTGCGGCCGCCACCGCCGCTGTGGGCGTCGGAAGGCGGCGCGGAACAAGCAGCAGCAGCAGCAGCAGCAGCAGCTGGGCCTTTGGCCGTTCGCCCTGCCTTCTCCTTCTTTTCGGAAGGAGGTTCCTGCTTGACCGCTTTGGTCGGCAACAACCTCCCTGCAACGCCCCCCCCCGCCGCCGCTGCCGCCGCAGATTCCAGCCTGGCCCTCTTGTCCGCGGCCGCAATGTTCTCCATGCCCGGGAGCGCGTGCGCCCGGCAAAAGTCACGCCTGTGCCCCGCGCCGCCCGCGAACCCGAACGACGCGTGGAGCTCGCACCCCGCGTTCTTGCACCTCTGGTAACACCCTCGTCTCTTGGAAAGAGACACCTCCGCCGCCGGTCCTCGCGCCCCGGGTCGGCCGTCGCTCCGAGACGAGCCCTTGCGCCCCGTCCTCGACGCCATGGCAGCAGCAGCAACAGCAGCAGCAGCAGCGGTAGTGCGACTACCGGCCACCGCCACCCTCGATCGCCTCTGCTGTAGCTTGGCCTTCGCGCGGGGGGGCGGCGGCGGCCGCCGCGGCCTGGGCTCGCCACCAGTGGCGGCGGAGTCGGCGGCATCTTCCTTCTTCACGAGCTTGGCGGCCGGTTGCTTGATGAGCTTGCCGTACCCACCACCACCCATCCTACCCCCGGCGGCGGCGTAGGAGGCGGCCATCTTCTCGGTCATCTTCCTTTTTCGCTTGCTCCGGTGACCGCTGCAAGCGACGGCACCCGCCGCTAGGCTCGACTCCTCTCCGCCGCCGCTGGTCCCGCCGCCGCTGCCGGTGCCGCCGACGCCGCTGCCGCTGCCGCCGCTGTTGTTGCTGCCACCGTTGCCACCATCTGCCACCTTTTCAGGAGGCACAGGGTCTCCGGACACCACCGTAGTCGTTTCCGACGTGCCGCGATCCTCGCCGGCCATGACAACGCGGCGTCGACGGCGCCCGGATTTCCGCGCCGGAGACGGCGCCGGCGCCGCCCTCTTGCCTCTCGTCCCCCTGTCGAGATTGACCATCCCGAAACGTTTGTGGGTGCCGCAGTATTGCCGCCTGCGGCTTGTGACCCACCCAAATCTCGAGGGGGCCGTGCACCCTTGCTCAGCGCACACTGGCTTGTGGGAAATGCTACCGCCGGCGCCGTTGGCGTCTCCCGGAGAGGTAGGTTTCCGGCTGGCGACGGCGCTCCTCGCGACGCGTACCGCCGGCTTCCCATCCGCATCAGGCGCGAACGTAGCCCCAGCAGCAGCAGCAGCAGCAGCAGCAGCAGCAGCAGCAGCAGCAGCAGCAGCAGCCTCCCCCCGGCCGTGCCCATCAATCGCTACCGCGCCGCTGCTCCTAGCTCCCCGAGCACCGCTTGACTTCTTTTTCAGCCGCGTGCTACCGGGAGCATGATGACGAGCCTTCTTCAGCGCGGGCTGCGAAGACCGCCCGCGGCCGACCATGGAGGATCGTCGTTGTCCCTTCGTTCGGGGGCAAAGGGTGGGTTGTCTCCGCACGTTTACCACCTTGGTTTCGGCTGCAGGAGCCGGGGCCGGAGCCGGAGCCGCCGCTGCCGCCGCCGCCGCCTTCTTCTGCTGAATGGACTTGAGCTTGCTGAGAAGCGCGAGGTTCACCATACCCTCGGATTGGTGCCTTTGGCAGAACATCCTCAATCCGCCGGGGAAACCGAAGCTCCGGGTCGTGAGGCAAGGGGAAGGGAGGCCCTGCGCCCGGCACGTTTGGATCGGTCTGCAGCCTTTACCACCGTGCGGCGGCGGGCCTCCAGCGCCGTCGGTACGCCGCTGCGCCTTGCTTGCGCTTGATCCTGACGGCAACGCTGTATCCGCACTGCTGCGGTCGCTGCTTTTCCTCTTTCTCTTGGTTGATGCCCTCCCGCCGTCATTCGTACCCAGGCTGCTGCCGCGCTTCATCAGGGCGGTTGTAGTCCCCCCCCCCCCCTTACCGCCGCCCTCTGCGCTTCCTGCGGGCCCACCAGCAGCATGCGACGGCGGCGGCGGTGTCGTTGTTGTTGTTCTGGATCTCCCTTTCGCAGTCGCCGATATTACGGCTGGCGATGTTGCGACACTGCTGTGATCTTGCTCGCGAGACTTTCTCCGTAGACGCCCGCGAGGCTTAGTGCCAACACCACCATGCACTGCTACCGCCGCCTCCGCCACGGTCTTCATGTGTGCCGCTGGGTCGGCGGCTCGCTTCCTCGTACTCGGCGCGGTATCCTCTCCTTCCGGCAAACGGGAAGCAGCGCCGTTCTTCGTTTTTGGTTCCTTCCTTTTCCCTTTTCCTAAGCGCCCATTGGTCGAAGCAGCAGGAGCGTGACCAGACGCCACTACACCTTGAGACGGTTGCTGCTGTCGCGGCTGCTGCGTGCTTTGGATCAAGCCGTAGAGCCGCCCATTTCCATTTGAATTTTCGGGCGAGGTTTCCGCCGGCGGAGGAGTGCTCGATGTGGCCCGACTGGGGGCAGAAGGCCTCCTGGTACCGTTGCTGACCGGTTGATCCGCCTTATCTCGCACCCTGGACATGATCCACCAACGCTGCTGTGGTGCACGCTGCATGGTAGCTATGCATTTTGCGAAGTCCCGCATACCCCCTTGGCAGTGTCTATTGATCCACGTCGCCCCCCTATTCATGACGTGACAGCATTTTGCACAACTGACTGGTACATCCCTCGCGCGGAACACGATTGTACTTGTGCTGCTGTGTCTATGACACCGGGGTCAGTCGTTGGGAGATGGACGTGCTTTACTTCGGCACAAACACCAATTAATGTAGCTGGAGGGTTCGTACTCTACCGAGGAGGTACCAACATGCACACGATCGATCCCGTTTTTTTGTCCGGTTAAAAAAGGAGGGGTGAAGACGACGACGACGACGTACATGCGTTCTTAATATAGTTTTGCAGTTGGTTGGCTTCGCCAGCATAATTACCGCCCCGCAGGCCATTTGTCGGTTAATGCCACCGTGCTTGTTGAGAGGTATTTTTTGTAGGAAGACATCGCTGCAGAGAATATTGTTTTCGCGAAGAAGCGAAGGTTCGTTCGTGCGGTACCCCCCCCCCCCCCCACC